GTAGTAGTAGTAGTAGTAGTAGTAGTAGTAGTAGTAGTAGGAGTAGTAGCAGCAGTAGTAGTAGTAGTAGTAATCGTAGTAGTCGTATCCGTATTAGTCGTAGTCGTAGTAGGTAGTAGTAGTAGTAGTAGTAGTAGTAGTAGTAGTAGTAGTAGTAGTAGTAGTGGTGGTAGTAGTAGTAGTAGTAGCAGCAGCAACAGTAGTAGTAGTAGTAGTAGTCGTAGCAGTCGCAGTTTTAGTAGTAGTAGTAGCAGCAGTAGTTAGTAGTAGTAGTAGTAGTAGCAGTAGCAGTAGTAGTAGTAGTAGTAGTAGTAGTAGTAGGAGTAGTTTAGTTCGTAGTGTGTAGTAGTAGAAGTAGAAGTAGTAGTAGTAGTCGTAGTAGTAGTAGTAGTAGTAATAGTTAGTAGTAAGTAGTAGTAGTAGTAGTTAGTAGTAGTAGTAGTAGTCGTGTAGTAGTAGTAATAGTCGCGTAGTAGTATAGTAGTAGTATTAGTAGTAGTAGTAGTAGTAGTAGTAGTAGTAGTAGTATTAGTTAGTAGTAGTCGTAGTAGTAGGCGTAGTAGAAGTTAGTAGTAGTAGTAGTAGTAGTAGTAAGTAGTAGTAGTTAGTCAGTAGTAGTAGTAGAGTAGTCCTATTTAGTAGCCGTCGTAGTCGTCAGTCGTAGAATAGTTGAGTTAGTAGTAGCAGTAGTATTAGTAGTAGTAGTAGTAGAAGTAGTAGTAGTTTAGTAGTAGTAGCAGTTAGTAGTAGTAGTAGTCAGTAGTAGTAGTAGTTAGTGTTAGTAGTAGTAGTAGTAGTAGTAGTAGTAGTAGTAGGCAGTGTAGTAGTAGTAGTCGTAGTAGTAGTAGTAGTCGTAGTAGTAGTAGTAGTAGTAGTAGTAGTAGTAGTAGTAGTAGTAGTAGTAGTAGTAGTAGTAGTAGTAGTAGTAGTAGTAGTAGTAACAGCATTCGTAGTAGTCGTAGTAGTGGTCGAAGTCTTAGTCGCCGAAGTCGTAGTCGTAGTAGTAGTCGTAGTCGCAGTCGTAGTCGTAGTCTGCGTCGTAGTCGTAGTCCGAGTCCGAGTCGTAGTCGTAGCCGAAGCCGTAGTCGTAGTTGTCGTCGTGGTCGTGGTCGCAATCGTAGTTGTAGTCACAATCGTGGTCGTCGTTGCCTTAGTCGTGGCGGTGGTGGTGCTAGCAGGAGGAGGAGTAGCATGCGCATATATATATATATAATATATATATATATATATATATATATATATATATACGCACACACGCTGTTCGTTTTTCTTTTATGTAAACCCGGGGCCCACGTACTGCTCAGGGCAGGGCGAATCGGATGTGGCCCCATGCCTTGCCGATTCTTGTAGTCGGTGGGTTGGAACCTTCACCATATTCGCATGCAAGCGAGGGGCACCGACGGGGTGTCGAAGGAAGTGTAAGGGTCCACGGTGCTCATACTTCAAAGCCCTTGTCGCGAATCTCGTCAGTTCAGCTTTGCCTTTCTCCCCCTCCCTCCTCCTCCTCCTCCTCCTCTTCCCGCCGTCGCGTGTCAGACCCTCGACGTCTTGTCTCTGTCAATGCGCGGCCACCCGAAGTTCCCGCGCTCCCCCCCCCTGGGGTCGCCAAACCAGTGTCGGCCCTCGGGCCTGGAAGCGGCTCCCGCGCGCCTGAAAAAAGCGAGCCACGAGCGCCGCCGCTTTTTTTTCGGACAAAGGCTCGGCGAGAGGAGGGCCCCGGGCCCCGGAGGTCCCCGCAGGCCCCTGGGGGCCTCCAGGGGCTTCCGTTTGCCCAAGTGATCCTTTCTTTATTCATTGTTTTGCCGATCGGCGCGGGCCCTCGCCCCCCCCCCGCCCCCACCCCTTTGCAGTAGAGCTTGGGTGCTTTGGGCGCCCCTTTCGGGCAGGTGGGGCCTCCCCCGCAGGACGCGCTGTTGCAGGCAGTCGCATGAAGCAGAGGTCCGGGGCCAGGCCCCACCACCTCCCCTCCCCCCCCTCCAATGTCGAAGCGCCGCATGCTGAAGCCCGAACGCCGAACGAGCCAACGCGTGCCTCGGAGGGCCGAGCGCCCCTCGGCCCAGTGCTGAGGCGCCCAACGAGCAAGCGTCTGCCGTGGAGGGCCGCGGCCGCCGAGGCAGAGGAGGAGGAGGAGGAGGAGGAGGAGGAGGAGGAGGAGGAGGAGGAGGAGGAGGAGGAGGAGGAGGAGGAGGAGGAGGAGGAGGATGGATGGAGAAGGAGGAGGAGGGATGGAGGAGGAGGAGAGGAGGAGGAGGAGGAGGGGAGGAGGAGGAGGAGGAGGAGGAGGAGGAGGGATGGAGGAGGAGGAGGAGGAGGAGGAGGAGGAGGAGGAGGAGGGATGGAGGAGGCGGAGGAGGAGGAGGCGGAGGAGGGGGAGGAGGGGGAGGAGGGGGATCTCCGGCGGCCTGCGCGCTTCGACCTGCGTCGTCGTGCGGAGCCTGCGAGCTCTCCCTGCAGGGCCCGCGGTCGGGCCCATGCAGGGGGGCAGCAGGACACGGTTTCCAGGGCGAGGAGCGGTCCCCCGGGGAGGCGGTCGGGGCTCTGGAGGCCGCGGGTGGAGGCGGGAGATCAGATCTCAGGAGGGAACAAAACACATGGGAAAATATGGAAAATATGGAAATATAGGAAAATATGGGAACATATGGGAAAGTATGGAAAAACATGGGAAAAATATGGGAAATTTTGGGAAATATGAAAAATCGCAGGTGGATTTTTTTGAAAATATAGGAAAATATGGGAATTGGGCGGGAAGGCAAAAGCCCAGAACAGATGGGAAAGTGTGGGGAACCGATCTATTTGTGTGTGTATTTGTTTGTGTGTCCTTGGGCCCCTTCAAGATCGGCGGACCTTACAGATTTTCACGGCCCCAGGGCTGGAACTCTGCCTCAGATTCCCGGGGGGGCGATGAGCTGGCCGCGCTGAGTTTGCCGATGCGCAGGATTTGTGAGATCTGCGAAGCGAATACTTAGATTCTCGATCCTGGTTGCAACGTGGACCTTCAGAGGTCTAGAATCCCTCCCAGGGACTGCTTTATCACCCCGAGTCGCTTTTTGAATGCCCCCGGGCCCGCAAAAGGTCCCTGGAGGTCGCAATGGGCCAGAAGCTGCCCGTCCAACTGTTTCTAATTGCGACGAGAGGGCGAGAGGGGGTGCGGGTTGGTAAGGCTGCGATCTTCGGAGCTCGAGGATCGAGTCGCCCGCCAGGCGCCGGGACGCTGGTCGGCGAGGTGCGGTACGACTTCCCGGAGCACGCGCAGAGGGCCCTCAACGAGCTGAACGGGGGCAACCTCGCGGGCGGCATCATCGGCGTGCGGGGCTCGGCCCAGAGATGATGATGACGATGATGATGCTGATGTTGATGATGATGATGCTGATAATGATGCTGATGATGATGATGGTGGTGATGATGATGCTGATGATGATGGTGATGATGATGGTGGTGATGATGATGACAATGATGATGACGGTGATGGTGATTGTAATGGTGATGGTGATGATGATGCTGATGATTATCATGACGACGGCGGCGACGACGACGACGAGGATGATGATGATGATGCTGATGATGCTGCTGATGATGATGAGGATGATGGCCATGGTGATGCTGATGCTGATGATGGTGCGGATGCTGCTGCTGATGCTGATGCTTTTAATGATGCTGATGATCATTATCATACTTGCAACGACGGCGCCGACGGCGCTGACTGTGTGATGATGCTGTTAATGCTGCTGATGATGCTGATGATGATGACTATGATGATGATGATGATGAACATGATGATGATGATGATGATGATGATGATGACGATGATAATGATGATGATGATGATGATGGTGATGATGATGATGATGATGAGAATGCTGATGATGATGATGATGCTGATGCTGATGATGATGATGATGATGATGATGATGATGATGATGATGATGATGATGATGATGATGATGATGATGATGATGATGATGATGATCTTGATAATTATTGACGCTTCGCGTTTCCAGCTCCACCCGTCAGCCCGCAGCTGCTGTTTGAGTGGGCCGGCCGGCCCGCGCCTGTCTTTCTAATTCGCCTAGTTCGCGTCCCGGACTTTGCTCTCGCCGCCTGACCGTCGTCTCGCGGCCGCGACCGACAAAGTATTCCCAAACCCGGTGCACGGCTTCGCACTTCGCTTGACCTCAAGACGCCGCGCGGGTCCCCGCTCGCGGTCGCGATCAAAAAGGTATCCCCACCAGCCCATCCAGAAGCGATGCCCATGAGAGCTGACGGGGGGAGAGAGGAAGAGACACGCATAGTCAAACAGCGAGGGAGGCTTGGGAGGCTCCGTGGCCATCTCGAGCCGTCTTCGAGCGGTCTTAGGGCCGTTTGGAGCATCTTGGGGGCCATTTTGAGCCGGCTTGGGCTATCTGAGCCATCTTGGAGGTCATCTTGGGCTCTCTGAGGCCGCTCGGGGGCCTCTTGGGGGCCTCTCGGGTGCCTCTTAGAGGCCCTGGGAGCCCTGGAGGCCCTCTTGGGACCATCTTTGAGGCTATCGATCAAAAGAGGGGGGTCCTTCATCTCCGTCCCCCCCTCGGGGGCCACGATCCTCGTGAGGGGTGGCGGCCCGCCCGTCCAGGTCCAGGGGAGGGGGTAGGGGGAGGCCCCCCCGTCCAGGTCCAGGGGAGGGGGTAGGGGGAGGGGTCAAGACACCCTCTCCGCACGCAAGCCGTCTAGCTCACTACCACCCGCCCTCCCACCGCATAAGTGGCATCCGAGTCTCGGCTTATCCAGGGGTCGCCACTGGATGGACAGCCACTGGGAACCAATGTGGACGCCAGATGCGCGACGCTCGCCGCGGGCTCCACATGCGGTTGGTGTGCATCCTTGTAAACAGCGTGCTGTCCCCCTCCCGTCCGCATGGTCTAGATGCTGATGTGGGGGGCGTCACCACTGTTCTGGGCCTGCGCACAGCAAGCATCATCATGCGGGCACCATCACCGTCCCTTTCAAGAAACAATACAAAGTAATCGCGGGTGCCCAGCACAATGCCCACGACGTTGTCGCAACGTGCACTTTGCATCGTTTTTGACACGGATGGTGGTCCTGCACAAAGTGTCTTCACTAAGGGTGCCCCGCCATCCCTGTCAAACATAAAACGTGCTCGCAGGGCGCCAGCGCACTGTCCAGATTTTGCTGCAATGTGCGCTTCATTTTTTTTTGAAAGGGATTGTGGAGGGTGGTGGCAGGGTGGGCCCCGCAATGTGCATTTGGTATTGTTTTCTGACAGGGGTGGTGGGGGGGCCGCATGGTTCCGGGTTGGCTACCAGCCATGTGGGGGAGGTTTCTCAATAGGGAACGGTGATCAAATCCTCGACGGTGATGGTTGACGCTAGCGATGATCATGATGCTCGCGTTGAGGCTGATGTTGATGATGGTGATGAGGATGATGCTGATGCCGATGCTGCTGCTGATGATGATGAGAATAACGATGATGCCGATGACGATGATGAGGATGATGATGATGATTTTGATGATGAGTATGATGGTGACAATGCTGATGATGATGAGATGGCCATGATGACGTTTCTGGCGGTGATGATAATGATGATGATGGCAATGATGATTATGCTGAGCATTATTGCTCTTTATGTTACCACTAGTATGATGATGGTGATGATGGTGACGATGATGATGGTGATGATGATGGTGATGACGGTGACGGTGATGATACTGCTGTTGATGATGACGATGTTGATGACGATGACGGGGACGATGAGCATGACGATGATGCCGATGACGATGACGACGTTGATAAGACGATGAAGGGGCGAATTACGGCGATGGCAATGGTGCTGCTGCTGCTGCTGCCGAAGATACTTTCGTCCCCGTCCTGAGCTCAGGTTCACATGCACAAGATGAACAACCCGCTCGGCACCAAGCTGCTCGTGACGGGCATCCCTGCCACTTGCCACTGGTCCGTGATGAAGAACTTCTTCGCCACCGTTGGATCGGGGGGTGGGTGCCGCCTCTGGCCTCCTTCCTCCTCCCCCCGCCTCCTCCCTCTGCCTCCGTCCTCCTCCGTCCTACCCTCTCCTCCCTAGTCCTCCGACGTTGTGTTTTTCCGTGGCGCGGACCCCTGAATGGGTCGATCCTTTCCAAGGACAAAGCCTCTCCTCCCGAGTCGTTTAGGACGCTCTCGGGGCCCCGGTCGGGGTCTCGGATGCCGAAAGCGACCAACTATGTTTTTTGGGGGGGTTGCGCCTCTCTCCTCCTCCCGCCTCCCCTCCTTCCACTCCGCCTCGTTCTTCCTCCCTCTGGCGCCAGCCATGGCCCTCGCGTGCGATGCAGCGGCGTCTGCTCGCGGGCCATCCCCCCCCCCTCTCTCTCTCTCTCTGCAGCTCCTCCTCGTCTCCCCCCCCCCCCCCTCTCGAAGGCTCCCCCTCGTCTCCTCTCCCCCTCCCGAGGGTCCCTCGCCCTCTTTCCTCCCCTCCCCCGCCTTCCTCCTCCCCCCCCCCCCCGCCGCCCCTCCCTTCTCGGTGGCCCCTGCTGCGGCCCATGCCCCCCCCCGCATCGCAGCCCGCGCGCCTCTCCCCTGGCCCGGGGGTGCGGAGCGCGGCCGCTCTCTCTCTCTCTCTCTCTTCCCTCCCCCCCCAGAGGCAGGCCAGCGCCCTGGTCTAGGAAGAGGAGGCGGAGGAGCAGGAGGAGGAGGAGGAGGAGGAGGAGGAGGAGGAGGAGGAGGAGGAGGAGGTGGAGGAGGAGGAGGAGGAGGAGGAGGAGGAGGAGGAGCAGGAGGAGGAGGAGCAGGAGGAGGCGCAGGAGGAGGCGGATTATTCAGGAGGAAAGAGGGGGAGGAGGAGGAGGTTCCTCGGCGCGGAGGACAAGTGGCCTTCGCCAACATCAACGACGGATCCAAGGCAGGCGGCGCCGACATGAGCATGGGCCGGAACCCGGGTCCCAGGGGCAGGCGCTGACGCTGGGCCTGCTCGTGGCCAGGCGGAGGCGAGAGGGGCCTCTGCGGCATGATGATGCTGCTGCTGATGATGATTATGGTGGTGATGGTGATGTTGATGGTGATGGTGATGATGATGATGCTGCTGCTAATGATGCTGAGGATGATGATGCTGATGATGATGATGATGATGATGATGATGATGATGCTGCTAATGATGCTGAGGATGATGATGCTGATGATGATGATGATGATTGATGATGCCGACGACTATGATGGTGATGATCATCATGATGAGGAGGAGGAGGATGCGGAGGATGCGGAGGAGGAGGAGGACGAGGAGGAGGAGGAGGACGAGGAGGGCGACGATGAGGAGGGGGGATGAGGAGGGGGAGCAGGGCAAGAGGGTCTCCAGGTTGAGGCACTACCCCAGTTTGCACCGAGCAGAGCATGCAGCCGTGCGCGCTTGTTCCTCTGCCACCCTCGGCATCCACGTCTTTCCCTTCACCCCCTCGTCGCGCTCTTCATCCTCCGCCTCCTCCTTCCCGGCGTCCATGCCTTTTCCTCCTGTTCTCTTCTTCTCGTTGTGGTCAGCTTCCTCCACCTCCTCGAGGTCCTCCCTCCACAATTACGCAATCTGATTACTACTCTCCTCTCACTCCCCTCTCCCCTGACTCTGTCCGGAGAGTGTCCCGTCCTCTCTCGGTATGGTTTATTACACAGGGTTTCATTCTTTGGTTTCCCCATGTGTTTTTCCAATCTCGTCGTGCCCGGTTCTTTCAAATAGTTCTCCCGCGGCAGCCACGCCCTCCTTTCTGCGCGTCGGTCAGCGGAAAATCGTGCTCCCGCTGCAGCGCCGGCCTCGGTCTCGCCGGTCTCCCTGGATGCTCCGGGGAGACTTGAAAGGGGGTCCAGCAAAACGACGCGAAGATCGGGACAAAATCGGATCGGGATAACTCGAAACCTCTGAGAATCGGCGGGTTTGGAGGATGTATTGGGCGCCGCGGCCGCTCCAGAGCGTTCCGGAACGCTCTGAGAGCGCTCCGGAACGCTCTGGAGCGATTTATCCCGATCCTAGCCCTGTTCTATCCAGGGAACGCGAGGCAGCGTGTTGAAAGGATGGGGTGCTTACAAAAATTGCAGTGCTCCTGCCGGACGGCACTTGGCATCCGAACGCGCTGACATCGGGCAGGCACGGTTGCGGAGGACAATGGAGGCGACAATGCGGACAGGCCCCGTCCTCTTGTGGACGGGCCGTTTACCCTCCAAGTCATCTGGTGCCATCATGCCACGGCATGCATGCAATGCGATGCTGTGTTGTGCATCGCTGTGCGATGCCATGCTTGGCGTTGCTATGCTTTGTGATGCACCGCTTCACTACGCAATGCCACGCCATGTTATGGCATGCTATGATCTGCCGTGCTCTTCTACGCCATGCTTTTCCATCCCTCGCGAACCCTCTTGGGATCAGTGCCCTGCTCGACATCCGACTGTGCGAATAGATCGGAGATCTACGCCATGGCAAGGGATGAGAGGGAGGGGTAGGACGTCAGGTGTGACGCTAGCGAACCTAATTAGCTTGCCTCCTTCTCCTCCCCCCTCTCCCACCCCGTGTGCTCTCTGTCCTCCTCCCTCCTCGCCCTCATCGTGCGCCCTCTTGTCCTCCTAGCCGTCTCTCCTCCAGGGTTGGGCCCAGGCCTTCGACGTCGTATGTCTGTTCACAGCGTGAAGCCCTCGCAGTCCTCTTCGTCGTCCTCGTCATCCCTCTCCTCACCCCCCTTGTGCCCGCGTGCTGCTGCTCGGGCCAGAGGGAGGAGGAGGGGGGAGTGGGAGGAGGGAACCATGAGGCCAGGAGGAGGAGGAGGAGGAGGAGGAGGAGGAGGAGGAGGAGGAGGAGGAGGAGGAGGAGGAGGAGGAGGAGGTGGTTCGAGGATACAGCATCGAGGTTCGAGCATTCAGGCATTTTGGCGTTCTCCGCTCTTTCTTGGCCTGGGGCGTCCGCGTCGCCACGTTCGGGTTTTGTTTCGGGCTCTGACATTGCAAGACGGCCCAGCACGCCTCCTAGATCATCGAACCCACATGGTCCATGGTCCATAATTATCGGTGCGATCGATCCGATTCGATATCCTTTCCGGCTGGCCCGATCTGATTCGATTCCGATAGTCAGCCGCTCCGATGAGGCTCGACGTGTGCACGAGCGTTGTTGATGCATCCTGGTGCGGCCGATCCGATTCGAGTTTGGCTCTGTGCCGATGCGTCCCGGAACGACGCACATGTCGATTCGATCTGATATGTGTATCGGATGTGTTCGGATGCAATTCTTGGGAGGTCAAATTCTGACTTTGCCCTGGTCCGAAGTCCAGCTTAATCCGGTTTAATACCGCTTAATCCGGCTCAATCCCGCTTAATCCAGCTTATCCCGCTTGATCCGAGGCCCGATCCGGCGTAACAGCCCCCCGATGCAGTTGCTTCCTGAGATGTGGACCGTTCATGCCTTCTTGCTGCTCTCGTTTGCCCGCCTCTTCCCTCCTGGACCCTTCTGTCGGCGTCGCCCCAACATACTAATACTATGTGTGCGTCGTCCCCCCAGGGGCGACGCGCGCACCAAGAACTCGGGAAACGACACACTACAAGATGGGCGCTTTCTGACCACACCACTCGGGAAACGACATGCTACAAGATGGGTCTACTGAATTTGCTTCCGGTCGGACGCGCGCCTCCAAGGAGGACACACAGTATTAGTATGTCTTTGTACACCCCTTCTTGGCCCGCCCTCCCCTCTCCCCGCGCCCGTCCACTCCTGGGCCTCGTCCGCTCCAGCCCCCAGCCTCGCCCGCCTCCCCCTTTCGCCTCGGCCTCGCCTCCTCCTGCAGCTGCTCCAGCTGAGCCCTGCTCTTGAGTCGGGCATGTCCCCCTAAAGGAGGAATCTTCCAAAATACTACTTTGACTACTATAATATGGGGACGATGTGTTTGACTACTTTGACTATTCTTGAATCGTGTTTGGCAGTCCTTCTCTGTCTTCCAAAACCCGCCTGTAGGAGGACATGCCCGCTCTAATACTACTCTCCCTTCTTCCCTCACTCTTTCCGGAAGATGTCCCGCCCTCTCCGCGTATGGTTCTAACACAGGGTTTTAATATTTGATGTATCCGACGTTTTTTTTTTTTTTTTTTTTTTTTTTTTTTTTTTTTTTTTTTTTTTTTTTTTTTTTTTTTTTTTTTTTAAAAAAAAAAAAAAAAATTTTTTTTTTTTTTTTTTTTTTTTTTTTTTTTTTTTTTTTTTTTTTTTTTTTTTTTTTTTTTTTTATTTTTTTTTTTTTTTTTTTTTTTTTATTTTTTTTTTTTTTTTTTTTTTTTTTTTTTTTTTTTTTTTTTTTTTTTTTTTTTTTTTTTTTTTTTTTTTTATTTTTTTTTTTTTTTTTTTTTTTTTTTTTTTTTTTTTTTTTTTTTTTTTTTTTTTTTTTTTTTTTTTTAAAAAAAAAAAAAAAATAAAAAATAAAAAAAAAACATATTATTTTTATATATATATATATATATAAAAGATTGAGCGTTTCTTGTGTCTCAAGCAAATTGTCCCCGCTGCGGCGTTGGCTTCATTTTAGGATGAACGCTCTGCTCCCGTCGTTTAGAATGGCGCTATCGCCCCCGCCCGCTGTTTGTTGTGTGTGTGTGTGTCTTTCTGGATCCCAAAGCTTCTTTTTCGCCGTCGCACGCCGTCCCTCTCCTTCCCCTCCCCTGCCGGCCCTTGGCCATCCTGCTCCTCCCGCTTCTCCCGCTCCCGCCCCCTTGGGGGGGCCCCAGGTCCGCCACGACGCCCGTCGGCGATCGGAGAACATCTCGGCGCAATCGGAAGGGATGGGTGGCAGTCGTGCAGTCAAGATTCAGGAGGAGAAAAAAACACACAGACACAATTAATCGTCGATCCCCCAAAAAATATAGGAAAATATGGGAATTGGGCGGGAAGACAAAAATCCAGAAAATATGGGGAAATATGTGGAATTATTTTATTTGTGTGTATTTATTTGTGTGTCCTGGGGCCCCTTGAAAGGTGTTGACATACGGACCGCTTTGGGCTCAGGAGGGGCTCCCCTTTCGGGTCTCCCGACAGCTCTGACTAGGGACTGACTCGGAGTAGGGCTTCTGAGGCCTGTGCTTGGGCGCGTTCTGAGGAGGTGCCGCAGGCCGCTCACGCTCGAGGCTTCGGAGATGGCCTTGCAAGCCATAGCGCCAACCGAGGCCTTGGGCATGGGTTGAGCCAGGCCACGCGATGCGGGTTGGCCTCCTGTCTCAGGCCGTCTACAGCTCCTGCGGCCTCAGGATCAAGTGGGGCATCTTGTACAGTGCCGTTTTTAATACATGCTCCGCGTGCGGATCATGTATAAAACATGCAGGGATTTCGCATTGAAAACAGCGATGAGTTGATGCATAAAGTTATTCATGAACTCATCATGCGTTCAAAGCAATCTATGCTTACAAATCCTATGTGTAAAAACTGCCCTGCAGCCCCGCGCGCGAAGCCGCCCTGCGCATGGGGCCCCGACTCCTCCATGATGCGGGCCCGTGCGAGCTGCCCATCCGTGCCCCGCGGGGGGCCCGTGGCGGGCGCTCGCGGGGCCCGCGCGACCCCGCCAGGTGCCAGATGTTTTCCGCTTGTCAGCAAGCGACGAACAGCGGCAGTCTTGTCATAGGAAAACGAAAACGACATGAACATAACAACTCAAATTGATTCCCTTCGGGGACCATCCGTTAACATTGGAACGATGCAGGTAAGATTTGCATGGCCCCTGCGCAAGGATGACACGCACAAATCGAGAAGTGCATACAATCTTAAAACATAAAAAAACAAATGAACATAACAACTCGAAGGTCCGCGCGGATTTCTCGGATCGGCCCCCGGGCCCCTGGCGGCGCCTCCGGCGCCACCCCTGGCGCGCTCCGCGCGCCCGGAAGGGGGGTCCAGCGCCGATCCGAGGAACCCGCGCGGGCCTCCGAGTTCTATGTTTATGCAATTTTTTGTTTCCCCATGGCATGTTTCGTTCCCCTATGTTTTATGTTTATGCCAGTTTTCGCCTTTCCTATGTCAGCCTCTGCACTTGGATTGATGACGTCACCCAACGAGGGGAGGGTGTCCGTCGCGACGTGGGGTCACTGAGCTCGTCAAAGGCTGGTGCCACGTTTGCCGAGCAGTGCGCTGGAGATGTTGTTGAAACCCGCCTGAAAGCCCACTGAAAAATAAAACGCATAAACATAAACTTTCGACGCTCCGCGCTTTCTTTTGGATCTGCGCTGGGGCCCCCTGGCGGCGCCTCCGGCGCTGCCCCTGGCGTGCTCCGCGCGCCAGGGAGGGGGTCCCAGCGCAGATCCAAGAAATCCGCGCGGAGCGCCAACAGTTTCTGTTTCTAGCGTGTTCTTCTTCTAATTATGGAAGCCCACTGTCATCGCATCAGAGCCCTCGGTGGCTCGGGCAATTGAAGTGGACCTGGCTGCAGAGCAGAGGGCATCAGGGTCGCCGTCGCTTCTGTTACAGCACGGCAGAGCTAGGCCGAGCGGAGTGGTTCCAGGCTGGGCGTCGTGCGCACCGCATCCGCAAACGGGCTCGTGTTGGGCCGCGCAAGGTTGGACGGCAATCAATCCTCTTGGGAGCTTTCCCCCGGGCCTCTTGCGCGTGGAAGGTTTTTTAGGTGGCCCTGTCGGGCCTTGTGCAGTGGCGTCGGGCCCTCGCCAGAACGCTGTCCAGGGGTCTGGTTGGCAGGTGCCTCACCTCCTTTCTGGCCTTGGAAGTGGAACCGAATGATCCCGCCTACAGCGCAGGCTTTATGATTTTAGATTCGTGGTTTCACATTGTTGCTTCTGTCCGGCTCTCGACCGAATGCGTGGGTGTCGGAAGGACACTGTTGACCGAATGCAAGCGTTGGGCCAGCTCGCTGATGGCACGGCATCCGAGGACCAGTCTCGGTTGTGGTCGCCACGATGTTGACCTTAGGATGGAGGCTGGACGGGCTGTGGAGTTGGGAGTCGCCTGGGGGTGGGAGGGGTGTGCCCTGCCAGACGAGCTGAGGTCCCAAGCTCACATGACCGACGTATTACGTCAGGAGGTCTCGGATTCGGTCTCGGCTTAACTCTGAGCTGGTTCGGCAATGTTTCGCAGCGGCGCAGGGGGGGCTGATGGCGTTGCTTGTATTTTCTCGAGGAAGCACCTCGGGAAGCTGCTCCGTAGGGACCCAAACAAGGCAGGCATCCTCAGGACTAGTGGGACTGGGGCCGTCTGGACCCGATCCTGCATGCTGTCTGCGGGTGGGGAGTGCGAGGAAGCGTGTCCCCGCTGTCTTATGGCTCCTGAAGCCGATGTGCACCGATTCTGGGAGTGTCCTTGTAACCTGGAATTCCAGGAGGTCTCCGAGGCCATCGTTCGTCGAGCGCTCACGGAGGCCGAGGTATGTCCTATTTTGTGGTTCCGCGGGCTCATTCTCTCGTCCTGGACTCGGGTCCCTGAACCTCCCGACCAGCCTCTCCTGGCTTCCTCGGGCGCCTTCCCTGTCCTTGGGGAGGGGAACGCACTTTGGGGGCTGAGGATGCTAGTGGGGGTGAGTTTTCCAGGGGCAAGGGGCTGCGAAGGCTGTCGTGGGGTGTCGCGGTCTTTGACCACAGCCTGGATGCTATCCCCCACGCCGTCGGTGCTGCCAGTGTGGCTCTCGTCGCTGGTGGCTGCATCGGTGGCTGGCAGAGTGTTAGCAGGGGAGAGCTCTAGGCCTTGTTGGAATTTTGAGAAATGTCGCCAGACGGTGCCTTGCTCGGGTATGTTACCGACTCGGCCTACGTCTCCCGCGCGATCTCCAGGACCTTTGGGAGGCTGTGTGTCCCACGTTCGGTCTCACGGTGATCTCTGGGAGCAGGTTGCCGTGTTGTGCCGTTCCAGGGATTTGTTGTTCCGTCCGATACCTGGTCATTGGGGCGTCCATGCTGCTGTGTGTGCTGGTTCGAATCCTGGGCATGCCATTGGTATCGCCATTGCTGATTCTGTTGCTGAAGAGCTTGCTGAGGACGTTCAGCTCCCGTACAGTGTACGAGCTTCGGTAGGATGGGCGGATTCCACCACTCGTAAGATCCAGGGTCGTTTAGTCTGTGTCATGGAAGATGTCCTGCAGCGGGAGGTCAAGAGGCCCCCCTGCCCCCCCCAGGATCCGAGTCAGAAGTAGGGGGCCACATGCGAACCCTACCCCTGTCCGCCACGATTTCTGAGGGGGAGGGTGGGGTTCACTTCGTTCGGGAGCTCCCGAGCGAAGTGAACCCCACCCTCCCCCTCAGAGATCGTGGGGGGCAGGGGTAGGGTTCGCATGTGGCCCCCGAAGAAGGGCAGCTGCGGATAGGCTCTGGAATGCCGCCCGTGTGTCTGCCCACACCTGCCTCCAACTCTGTGGTGATCTCACGAGGTGTGCCCGTTGCGACTGCCGTGCCGCTGGGAAGGACATAGGGCTCGTTTTCAGTCCGTCCCTTGTTCTCCGATGTCCTGAAGCGGGGCGGTCTACATATGCCCACGGGAAGTGCTCGTCTCAGATCTAGGGAAGTGCATGGATCTCACCGCATCGCGTTCTGGCCTGATGCGAATGTCCTCTGGTGCCTTGTCTGTGGCTGCTGCTCCGTGGACGCACTCGAAGCGCCCGGCACCCACTGTCCTGGCAGGCTCCCGAAGGCGGGGGCCCGGAGCCTCTACTTCTTGCCTGGCAGCAGAGTTCGAGTTCCTCCTCCTCCTCCTCTTCCTCCTCCTCGTCCTCCTCTTCCTCCTCCTCCTCCACCTCTTCCTCCTCTGCCTCCTCCGCCTCCTCCTCCTCCTCCTCCTCTTTCTTAACATCATCATCATCAACATCATCATCACCATCATCATCATCATCATCACCATCATCATCAGCACCATCATCAGCATCAGCATCAGCATCAGTTTCACCATCATCAGTTTCAGTCTGATATGCATCGTTGTCATCAGTATCTTCATCCTCGTCAGCATCACCAGCATCGCCATCATCATCACCATCATCAACACCATCATCATCATCATCATCAACATCATCATCATCATCACC